AGTCTTAGTAGTAGTCTTAGTAGTAGTCTTAGTAGTAGTCTTAGTAGTAGTCTTAGTAGTCTTAGTAGTAGTCTTAGTAGTCTTAGTAGTAGTAGGTACTCGTCATCTAGGCTCAATAGATAGTTTATGTTTTTGTAGGTTATTGCCTGACTAATGGATGTTATCAGCTGCTGCTTTGTGATTGGGGATAATGTTTTGGGTTGGGTTTTTGGTATATGTGTAAAGTATAATATATGGCTGCAATACAGGTGTAGGTACAGTCCAGATTTCGGTATGGACATGGATCGTTCATACCATGTTGAACACTGCCCATCCCATCAGCACTGGGCACATAAGCAACATTGGGCCAGATCAGTAGTACGGTGGGGGACCACGTGCGAACCCCTGGTGACGATCTGTTTTGCCACATTACAAGCGCCATCGTAGGGATGTTGAGTTGTAGTGTTTGCTAGGGAGAATGCATGTCACTGCACAGGCATGCAACAACACCCAGAAACGATGCCCCAATCTTGCAGGCGCTGTTATTGCCCTTTGCTGCATGTGCTTGGTGCCTGGGGAATGCATTTCATTGCACAGGCATGCAACAACACCCAGAAACGTTGCCCCAATCTTGCAGGCGCTGTTATTGCCTTTTGCTGCATGTGCTTGGTGCCTGGGGAATGCATTTGATTGCACAGGCATGCAACAACACCCAGAAACGATGCCCCAATCTTGCAGGCGCTGTTATTGCCTTTTGCTGCATGTGCTTGGTGCCTGGNGAATGCATTTCATTGCACAGGCATGCAACAACACCCAGAAACGATGCCCCAATCTTGCAGGCGCTGTTATTGCCTTTTGCTGCATGTGCTTGGTGCCTGGGGAATGCATGTCACTGCACAGGCATGCAACAACACCCAGAAACGTTGCCCCAATCTTGCAGGCGCTGTTATTGCCTTTTGCTGCATGTGCTTGGTGCCTGGGGAATGCATTTGATTGCACAGGCATGCAACAACACCCAGAAACGATGCCCCAATCTTGCAGGCGCTGTTATTGCCCTTTGCTGCATGTGCTTGGTGCCTGGGGAATGCATTTCATTGCACAGGCATGCAACAACACCCAGAAACGTTGCCCCAATCTTGCAGGCGCTGTTATTGCCCATTGCTGCATGTGCTTGGTGCCTGGGGAATGCATGTCACTGCACAGGCATGCAACAACACCCAGAAACGATGCCCCATGTTTGTAAGCTCGATTTCTATTTTTTTTAATGCATCATGCTTGCAGTGCCTCAAGCTTGCATGTACTTACACACATACATTTTAAGCTTTTGGTCTTTGTGTGTGGTGCTGTAAGGTTGCATTTTTAACTGCAGCTCTCAACCAGTGACCATGAAATTTGAATCCTGGCTTCAGGCCTGTCAAGTCTCAACTTCTGGAATCTCCCATCTTAGGGTCCCTAAACTTTGTGTTATGTAC